AAGATAAATTAGATATGAGACTTTAGACTCACAAATATAGGATAGATAATTTTCTTTATTTTGTCAAATACAAACAGACTAGATATTGCAACTGTAATTCTTGCTTGATAACTGTTCTATTATGTGTAATTTTACTGTTAAAGTTAAAACCTTCCTTTTTGATTAGACAGAAAAGGGGAAGTGCTGTGAGATGTCATTCTGTATGCTGTGAATACGTGTTTCTCTGACTGATAAGTAAAGCCATTTAGCCTATGGCAAGTCAGGTTATAGCTAGGTGGGAAATTGAAGAGAGAGACAGGAAGAAGAAAGGCAGAGGGGAGAGAGATGCCAGCACTGCCAGGAGAAGCGAGATGTGAAAACACTGGTAAGCCACAGTCATGTGGAAACTTATAGATTAATAGAAATGGGTCAAGTTATAAGAGCTAGCTAGCAAGAAGCCTGCCATAGGCCATGCAATTGGTAGTTAATATTAAGCTTCTGAATGATTATTTTATAAGCAGCTATGGAACCTTGGGGCTGAGAGAGACTGGAGAAAACTCTGGCTACAGATGAGTGTTAGATTGTATCAAACTTCTTTGGCATCTACTGATAATACGATATTGAACAGGTGTGCTCAGAGTGGAAAACCTTGCCTTGTTCCTGATTTTAGCGGAATTCCTTTGAGTTTCTATCCATTTAATTTTGGCTATAGGCTTGCTGTAAATTGCCTTTTTTATGTTTAGGTATGTCCTGCATATCCTTTATCTCTCCAAGACTTTTATAATGAAGGGGTTTTGGAATTTATCAAAGACTATTGCAGCAGTTAATGAAATGATCATGTAGGTTTTTTTTCTCTTAATTTGTTTGTATGCTTGATTACATTGACTGATTTTCCTATGTTTAACCATCCCCACACTTGTGGGATGAAGCCTACTTGATCATATTGGATGATCTTTCTGATGTATTCTTGGATTTGGTTTGAGGGTATTTCCTTGAGTATTTTTGCATCTATGTTTATGGGGAAAATTAGTCTGTAATTCTTTTTTTGTTGAATCACTGTGGTTTGGGTGTCAGGGTGACTGTGGCCTCATAAAATGAGTTTGGCAATGTTCCTGTTTTTATTTTGTGGAATAATTTAAGGAGTATTGGTGTCAGTTCTGTTTGAATGTCTGGTAGAATTCTGTTCTAAAACCATCTGGTCCTGGGCTTTTATTTATTTATTTTTTTGGTTGAAAGAATTTTAATGACAGCTTCAATTTCAATAGGGATTATAGGTCTGTTTAAATTGCTTATCTGATTTTTATAATCCCTCTCAAATAGTGCCACCCCTTAACGACCACTCACCTAAATATATGAGCCTCTGGAGCCAATTCATGTTCAAACCACCACAGCATGTGGCTATCATAGATCAATTTTTCAGAAATGTTGTTTGAAGTTGATAAAGACTATTTTTTGTTTCTTTTCCTAAAATGGTGTATCGCAGTGTAGCCCAGGCTGGCCTCAAATTACTATGTGGCCAGCTACTCTGAAATTCATGATTTTCTTGCTACTGTCACACCACCCTCCACATGCCTGATCTTGTCTGATCTTGTAAGATGATCAGGGCCCTCCTGGTTAGTACTTGGAGGGGAGACATTTTAAAGCAGCGATCCTCAACCTGTGGGTCTAGACCACCAGAAAACACATAATTCTGATGGCCTTAGGAACTGAGACACTGCTCAGTAGCAAAATTACAGTTATAAAGTAGCAATGAAAATAAATTTATGGTTGGGTGTTCCTAACACTATTGGAAGTATATGTTTTCTGAGGGTCGCCACCCACAAGTTGAGAACTGTTGGGTCCTGTCCCACAGGGAATTTAGGTCCCCTGAGAAGGGAGACCTGGAACCAAGGAAAGGTAAGTGCTGCTGCTTGCCTGTTCCCCAGCCTCCCTTTTTCCCAGGGAGACAATCAGATGCAGCAGGGAGCCAAGTAAGGCAAGGACTCATTTATTTAAAAACAACAAGCTCCTGTTAAAGCATAAAGAAAACAAGGGCGGAGGGGGGGGGGGGAGAATGCCCCATTGGGCCATCAGCTTAAAGATTACCCAATTACACATCTAGTCCACAGTATTTAGTGTTGTCTATGAGGGAATTCATGTACTGACATCATCTTGACCTGAAGCCCCAATCATATTTTTTTGTAAATCACTTGGATTCCACCTTCTACACTTTCCCTGGCTGGCCAGCTTTACAAGCACCTGGCTCCATAGGCCCTTCCCCCACAGAGAAGGGTGTTTTATGGTATTATCTAGATTATTTTCTTTGTGTTTGAGTGTTGACAATTTTTCCATTCTGAAATTATTTATTTAGTACCAATTTCAAGAATGCAATCATTAAAAAAAAATCATTGCGTTTCTAAAACTCTTTTCATGCAATGTTTGTAGCATAGATTAGCCCAGAATACTTTTGAACAATGAGAAGTTAGTAGTTTATACTCTGTTCTGCTCTTTCCAAAATTTTTGTTTGGGGTTAACTTTGAAATTAAACTTAGACATTAATAGATTTTTTTTTTTTTTTTTTTTTTTTTTTGGTTTTTCGAGACAGGGTTTCTCTGTGTAGCTTTGCGCCTTTTCCTGGAACTCACTTGGTAGCCCAGGCTGGCCTCGAACTCACAGAGATCCGCCTGGCTCTGCCTCCCGAGTGCTGGGATTAAAGGCGTGCGCCACCACCGCCCGGCAATTAATAGATTTTTAAAGAGCAATTTTAGATTCACAGAAGAATTCAGTGGACGGTACAGAAGATGTCCACATCCGTATCCCTGCCCTTGCCTCTGCATATGCACAGTTGAACATTTGAAACCTCAAAGCCTACCCTCAGTGACACACTTCCTCCAACAAGACCACACCTCCTAATAGTGCCACTCCTTATGAGACTATGGGGTCATTTTCATTCAAAAAACCACACAGCAGCAGAGCTTCAGACCTTATATTAACGTCTTTGCTCCATTTGAAGTTGATTCCTATAAGATGTGAGAAATTGGAATCTGCTTTCGTTCATATACATATGGATATCCAATTTCCACTGCATTATTTCTTGACAAGGTTATATTCCTCCAATACATATTTTTGGCATCTTTGTTAGAAATCAGGTGGTTGTATTGCCAAGGCTGTTGGTTGATCTCCAGAAACTGATGGTAAGGCTCTGTTGCTGAAGACAACATCTATGTAACTCATTGAACATGGAGAAGTTGAGTTCCTGCCTACCTAGAGCCTTCAAACCCCAAAAACCCCACCTAGTATTTATGTTACTGAAAGGTACTCTGCATGTTACCACAGAAAAAACGTAAAACTTAGTCTTAAATGGGATGTTTCCATCAAATCCCTCCTCAACTCTGTGGAAGAGGAGGTTGAAAGATTGCAAGAGCGTTTGGGGAGGGAAGACACTAAGAATACAATGCCTTCTGGACACAGAGGGACTGCCACACATAGGAACTCACAGAGACCGTGGCAACATGCACAGAGCCTGCACAGGTCTATGCCACATGGGGTCCCAATGCTGAAACAGCAAGTGGACAGATCCCTATTCTTAACCCAGAAGCTATCTCTAATGATAACCCCTCACAAAGGAAAATTTGATTTTCTCCAGTGGAGTCTCACTGGATATACAAACCACACTTCAGAGTGGGCACCATGCCCAGCCAACACAACATAAACTCAATGGAATTTTTGGAGGTTTTTATTTATTTTTGTTTTGGTGTCCTAATACTTTGCCTGGGCATTTTTTCCCCTTACAGGTCTTTTTTTTATATACATATATTATGGTTTCTGTCTTTGTGTTTTTATGGAATTTCTGTGTGTGCAAATGTGTGTGTCTCTGTGTCTGTATGTGTTTCTTGTGTTTTTTCTTTGGCTCTTTTTTTCCTGTTTGTTTGTTTTGTCCTGTTCTGATTTATTTGTCTTTATTTTATCTTACTTTATTACTACCATTAATTTTTAGATGGCTGCTGTTCGTTTTCTAATAAGAGAGAGCATTTGGGTAGGCAGGAGGATCTATGGGGAGTTCAGGGAAGGAAAAACCATAATTAGAATCTATTTTGTGAAAAAAATACTTTCAATTAAAAAATCATGTGGCTGTAGCATTGTGGTTTACACCTATGTCCTCTATTCTGAAGAAAGGAAAGAAAGAAGAAATTTCTTCTCAGATCTTCATCCCCTCCCCTTTCCCAGCACCCTCTCCTTTCCAGTCCACTGTAACCCACTTCTGTTTTCAGGTCCATGGGTTGTATTCCGCTTTCACATGCGTAACATGTGTAACTTACCTTGCTGTACTTGGATTATTCCGCTTAATAGCATGCCTTCTAGTTCCATTCATTTTCCAGCAAATGACTGGTTTGTTTTTCTTTGTATCCTTTTATGTTTTCATATGAAAATTTTCTGTACTTTTGTTCTATCTTTTGTTATTTAGCATAGGTATTCTTTGCTTTTGGTTGAGACATACAATTAGTCCAATTTTACTATTAAAAAGCACCCTAGCGGCCGGGCGGTGGTGGCGCACGCCTTTAATCCCAGCACTCGGGAGGCAGAGCCAGGCGGATCTCTGTGAGTTCGAGGCCAGCCTGGGCTACCAAGTGAGTTCCAGGACAGGCGCAAAGCTACACAGAGAAACCCTGTCTCGAAAAACCAAAAAAAAAAAAAAAAAAAAAAAGCACCCTAGCACTTCATAGTAGTATAAACACCATAGGATAACAAAATAGTTCTATTCTTTCCTTCCTATCTCTTTAATTGTTGCTTGGAAAGCATGAAATATTGCAGATCAGTTCTTAAGAAACCAAGTTTGAAGTTAAGACTATTTTTTGTTTCTTTTTCTAGAGCAGTGTATCACGATGTAGTCCAGGCTAGCCTCAAATTCACTTTGAGGCCCGCTGCTCTGACATTCATGATTCTCCTGCCTCCAACCTCTGTGTTGGCACACCTGGCTTGAGACTATTATAAATCTGAGAATCTACAGAACTCAAGGAAGGAATACAAATAGGTTCCAGGAACTGTATAACAAGAAAGTGGACAGAGGAAAGGACACATACCCTGTTCCTACCTCTGTTCTGCTTCACTTCTGTTGTTCATTCTCAAGGCAGAAAGTAAGAAGAAAGAGAGAGGGTGAACTCTTTGTGCTTCTGTTTCTACAGTTCTTGAGAGTGGCTCTGTTTCTTTGTCTGTGTGAAGTGTTCATTTTTACTGGACCAAATGTCTTTAATTAGGGGATGGTATATGTAGAAAGAAGTTTAATCAAGTCAGCTCATGTGGTATGCCTACACTGGACCTAGCAAGGGGCTAGAAGAAGAAAGGCAGGGCTACCCTACAAACTATTTGACAAAATAAGATCACTCCTAAGTGGGGATTAATTAATTCATATCTTATAAATATAATTTTGAAGATGTTGACATATCAGTGATGATATAACTTGGAATTATTATCTGAAAATCATGTAAATATTAAAGCGCTCTTATTTAAATATTTTCTAGAGTCAAGTTGTGTGAATGGGAATCAAATGGCACAGAAAAATTCATGTCCTTTGCCAGAAGGTACTACTCTTCTTTATCTTGTGGACAACACTGCGGAAATGGAGAATTGACCTTCCTTAGAAACAGTAACTAATGCTTTGGCTGCTGGACAGATTCAAGATAAATGGAAGAATCTGCTGATGAGAGGGACCCTGGTTATGATATGAGGGACCCTGAACAATTGCCTCTAAACCTTAGTTGTCTTAGAGGGAAAAACGCTATGAATTTAGCATCTTCCCAGGTCTGTGTTGAAGAATGCTTTGTCATTTAATGAGATGACCGTTACTGGACGTGATTAGTGATAACTTGAGTCATTCTTGCCCAAAGAGGCAAGTGACATAGAAACAGGATAGTTGAGATAGTTAATGCAAAGTTTATCAGAAGCAAGGCTTATTCACAGAGATTTCTGCTCCTTTTATAGTGATGACATTATTGACTTTTTTGTCACAGTGATTGTAACAGATAACTTTGTTGAGTAATCACCACTCAGCAAACTTGTATCCTTCATGGACTCTTTAAGTTAGTGTCCAGGCAGTGTGAGGTTTTATTGTGCAAGATCTATGTAGCCCACAGGCCTTGAATGTTTACTTTAGAAGGTAAGTGATGTACTTAATTCTGATAGAGTGAACATACGTAAAGTAGAAATGTGAGAAAAATCTGATATTTCTGGAATGCATTCATTAGCCAAGCAATGCTCTAGTGTAACTTCATACATGCTGCTGTGGATGGATTAACACAGGTTTTCTTCTCTCTTTGTGTGTGTGTCCAGTTAACATTACAGCGTCTGTGCAGATGGGTACAAAGGCTCTGCTCTGCTGCCCTGCTATTCCACTGACAAAAGCAGTACTAATAACATGGGAAATAATCCTAAGAAACCAACCTTCCTGCAGAATATCCTACAGAGTAGAGACCAAGGAGACCAATGAAACCAACTGTACAGACAGGAGAATCACCTGGGCCTCCACACCTGACCAGAGTCCTGACCTTCAGATCAGTGCAGTGGCCCTCGATCATGATGGGCATTATTCATGTCAGATAGCAACATCTGATGGGCATTTCCAAGAGAGACATGACCTGAAAGTTCTAGGTAAGCAACAATGTCACATTGTGGTATTTCAGGTCACTAGATTTTAGATAGAAACAAATGACTTTGTAATTTGTGAGGAGACTGAATCTTTTTTCCCTTCTTTCTCCACAGTCCCCCCTGAAGTAACCCTGTCTCCAGGGAAGTATAGAACTGCAGTTTGTGAGGCGACTGTAGGCAAGCCGGCTGCTCAGATCTCCTGGACTCCAGATGGGGACTGCAAAACAAAGAATGAATCACACAGCAATGGCACCGTGACTGTCAGGAGCACATGCCACTGGGATCAGAGCAATGTGTCTGCTGTGTTCTGCTTTGTCTCCCATTTGACCGGCAACCAAACTCTGTCCAGAGAACTGAATCAAGGTGAGCATCCTTTAAAAAAGAAGAATAATTGATATTGAACATATTCTTCCATGAAAGATAAATGTTCTAATTTCATTATGTTTGTGCAAATACTGTGGCCAAATGCCACTTAGGGGAGGAAAGAGGAAAGCCAAGACAGCTCTAGCAGACACCATGGAGCTGCTGACTCGCTCCTCAGACCTGTGCAAATCTATCTCACCTGCCTAGGGATTGGTGCCACCCTCAGTGTACTGGGTTCTTGGGTAACTTTAAGCTGTGTCAAGTAGACAGTTAAGCTAACTAGGACAACAGACCCATTCAGATAATAGTAACAAGTTTTCAGTTATCTGTGTCCTGCAGTTCTTGTAAACTAACTATAATTCAGGATGTTTCTACCATCTGTGTATCAGGTTCAGTGATTTGGTAGAATGGTTCACAGAACTGAGGATGCACTTTGCTTACTATTACTGGTTTATTATAATGACTGCAACATGGGGACAGACAAACAGAAGAGATTCATAGGGCCCTCTGTGGAGGAAGGGGCATAGAGCTTCATAATATCTCAAGGATGGCTGTTCTTCTAATTCCTCATAGAGAAGCTTTCAAACTGTATTATTTAGGATTGCTGATAAGACATCAAATCATCATGACCATGTAACACAATCTTAACAGCACAAAGGCCAAGCTCAGATGGTTTTTCAGTTGCTCCTTTCCTCTAAAATGTCCTTTCTCCTAACTCTTTCACCTAGTAAACCAGCAAGACACTATCCTAATCCCACTTCTCCATGACCCAGAGCTAGTGCTGAAGAACTATTCTCATTCATCAGATGTTTAGAGCATGTCCTTCTTGCTTAGCAATGTTTTATGTTTTACAAGTTATCTAGAACAATCGTGAAAACAGCAGCAACAACAACAAACACTGGAAGTATCATCAGACCGAATTTCAAGCTGTGCTGTGCAGACAAAGTAGCAAAGCCAGAAAGGTACCAGCACAAAACCAGACATATTGGTCAATGGAACAGAATCCAGGTCCCACAGATAAGTCCATGCATCTATAGCCACCTGATTTTCCACAAAGATTCTAAAACCATCACTGAAGAAAGGATAGCATCTTTAGTAAACGGTGTTGGGAAAATTGGCTATCTACATGTGGAGGAATGAAAATTGATTCTTCTATTTGCACACAAATAAAGTCCAAATGGAGCAGGGATCTCAGTGCTAGATCTGAAGCTCTAAAACTTGCAGAAGAGCAGCCAGTTCACTGAGTAAACTGCAGGGCATAGGCTCAGGTAAGGACTTTCTAAATAGGACTCTGGTTGCTCAGGAAATAAGATAAAATAGCAGCAAGTGGGACTTCATGGGATTAAAAAATTTCTGTTCTGCGTATGTGGATAGCATGTGGAGTGAGTAGAAAATTTCTTAAAAAAGAAAAATGAAAAAAAAGTTTCCGTTCTGCAAAGGAAACTGTTAGCTGACTGAAGAGGCAGCCTACAGATCTGATGGAGGATTCATATGTAGAATATTCACGTCATTAAAAAAAACCAAAACACTAGGAAAACAAACAACCAAACTGAAAAATGAGCTATGGAGCTGAATAGAGAGTTCTCAGAAGAAGAAATACAAATGGCCAAGAAATATTTTGAAAACTGTTCACCACCCTTAGTCATCAGTGTAATGCAAATTAAAACTGCTTTGAGATTTTTATCTTAATAAAATGAGAATGGCTAATAGTAAAATAAGAGAGTGGATGTAGGGAATGGTGAACCTTCATGTACTGTTGCTGGGAGTACAATTGGTGCAGCCAGTGTGGAGATCAATGTGGCTGTTCCTCAGAAAACTATGGTATGACCAAGCTCTTCCACTCCTGAGAACATACCAAGTTGTCTGACTACAGAGATATATGCCCATCCATGTTCTAGATGCTCTTGTCCTAATAGCTAGGGCATGGACATAGCTTAGATGTCCATCAACTGATGAGTGAATAATATCCATAGGTCAAATAATGCCATGGATATTATAGAGGCTACTAACTATTTGATTGGATTTAAGTCACAGGAAACACGTACCTGGTATTTTAATTGTGGCCAAGAGCCCATGGATGGGGAGTTTTAAATAATTCTTTTATCATTTATTAAATTGTAAAATCCATGCACAAATATTAAGGAATAAATGGGGAACCTGAACAGAATCACAAGACACCGCTTGCACCCATCACTTCTTATTCCTCACTCAAAAAAAAAAAAAAAAAAAAAAAAACCTTCCCTCCCTTGGTTACATCTTACTCCAGTGAAAACCCTGCCTCTTAGACCAAAATGCTCCTCTCAATTGGCTAGTGGATCAGTGACAGAATTCCCACAACAGAGGAGCTCACAGGCTATTATTCTGCAAAACAGACATTCCAACTACCCTCTAAATTTGTATCATTCTACCCATATATTACCTGAATTCTCATGCCTCTTCAGAGAAGGTTATTTTGTAAGTGAATAGTGGTTAAAGTGGAAACTCTCAACTGGTCAAGGGGATAAGCAGTAAGATTGTAAAATTCAGAGGACAGGGGAGACCAGAGGAAACAACTTCTGTACCTGACAGGGTCTCTAAACTCCCAAGCTCGTAGGAATGTAGTTTCCTGCATAGGACTTGCACAAGATGAAGCCAATCAATATTTTAGCACGGAGTGGAAAGGAACTCCCGAGTCCCTGCCCTGTCAACTGAGGAGCTATGGACAATTAATGTTTTTTTGAGGAGAGAGAGTCAGTTATCTTTTAGGGTGTTCTCCTCATAGGCCCCAACCCAGGAGTATATGGGCAACATAAACAGAAGCCAGTGGATTATAAAAAAATATGAAAATTTGGTGAGGGTAACAGAGTCGTGTGGATCTGGTAGGAGTTAGGAGGAGGAGTTGTAGGTAAATATGATCAAGATAATTATATGATATTCTCAAAATAAAAAAAGTAAAAGAGAATCTTTCAAAAAACTAAAATTTTCACATGATGCACTTCAGACAGCGGACTCAGAGGATCTGGGCTGGATTTGACCTGAGAACCTCCTCCCTGAGGACTAACTTTCATCGTCACCAAAGGTGTTGTACAAGTTGCCCCAACAGGGAAGCAACTGGTAGGATCACAAAGCTATGAAGCTTAAGAACCACAATAATGACAACCAAGACTGGTCCCTAAGATGCAATAACATAACCATATCTTGGCAGCAACCAATAGCTGTCCAATTATATTCAAGGTCCACTCAACAGGAGGAAAATCAAGCCTGATACTGGAAACCTAGTCCACTACTCAAGGTTAGTGAGACCATTTGTCTTAGAGATGAACCTAGTACAGCCCTTCACTAAACCAGCATAACACCTATCTAAATTCTTAATCCCTTATGAACACCAATAAGTGTGGCTCTTAACCCTTACCAAACAAACTTCTCTTTGTAATAGACAGAAAACATTAAGAAAGCCACAAATGTTCAAAATGCAGAGAACACTCATCATGCCATGTCCAACCCCCACGGATACATCTACAACACAATTCCTACACTGAATGCTCAGAGAATATTGTAGAAGAGGGGGCAGAACACTGCAAGAACCACAGGACCAGGAAATCTACTATAAGATTGTGTCGCCTCAACTTCCTGAAGAGAATGTCAGTAGCACACACACTAAGATCCACAATTAACAAATGGGACCTTATGAAACTGAAAAGCTATGTAAGGCAAAGGATGCTGTCAATAGAACAAAATAGCAACCTACAGATTGGGAAAAGATCATCACCAACCCCACATCAGACAGAGAGATGATCTCCAAAATATATAAAGAACTCAAGAAACTAAAAATCAAAAAATCAAATAATCCAATTAAAAAAGGGGATATGGATTTAAAGAGAGACTTCTCAACAGAAGAGTTTCAAATGTCAGAGAATGTTAAAGAAATGGTCATCATCCTTAGCCATAGGGCAATGAAAAATCAAACTGACTCTGAAATTCCATTTTACACCTGTCAGATGGCTAAGATCAAAAACACAAATGACAGCTTATGCTGGAGAGGATGTGGAGCAAGGGAAACACTCCTCCATTGCTGGTGGGAGTGTAAACTTGTGCAGCCATTTGGAGAATCAATTTGGCAGCGACTCAGAAAATTTGAAATCAATCTACCTCAAGACCCAGCTATACCACTCTTGGGCATATACCCAAAAGATGCTCAGTCGTACCACAAAGACACTTGCTCAACTATGTTCATAGCAGCATTATTTGTAATAGCCAGAACCTAGAAACAATGTAGATGCTCTTCAACCAGGGAATGGATAAAGAAAATGTGGTATTTTTATACAATGGAGTATTACTCATCTGTTAAAAACAATGACATCAGGAAATTTGAAGGAAAATGGAAAGAATTAGAAAAAATCATCTTGAATTTGTAACCCAAACCCAGAAAGACAATCATGGTATGTACTCACTCATAAGTGGACATTAACTGTAAAATAAAGGATAAACATGGTACAATCCATAGACCCAGAGAGGCCAGGTAACAAGGAGGGCCCAAGGGGAGATACATGGATCTCTCTGGGAAGGGAAATAGAAGAGATCTCCTAGGTAGACTGGGGGCAGGTGGGCATGGAACTTGAGGGATTGGTTTGGGGGGTGGGTGGAAGTGGAGAGTATTGAAAGAGATGACTGGAAAGGGGGTCTTTTGGGGACCAGGCAGAAACCTGATGCAAGGAAAATTCCCATGAATCTACACAGATGACCAAGCTAAGACTTCTAGCAATAGTGGATAGATAGCCCGAAACAGCCATCCCCTCTGATCAGATTGGTGACTACCACAATTGTTATCAGAGGGCCTTCATCCAGTAACTGATGGAAACAGATGCAGAGAACCAGAGCCAAACATTAGGCTGGGCTTGGGGATTCCTGCTGAAGAGAAAGAAGGATTGTAGGAGCCAGAGGGGTCAAGGACATCACAAGAAAATCCACAGAAACAACCACCCTGACTCATAGGAACTCACAGAGTCTCACCAACAACCAGGGAGCCTGCATGGGACTGACCTAAGCCCTCTACATATATGTGACAGTTGTACTCTATTTGTGGGACTTCTAACAATGGGAGCAGAGGCTGTCCCTAACACTTTGGCTGGCTCTTGGGAACCTATTCCTCATTCCATTCCTTGCACAGCCTTAATACAAGGGGAGGAGCTTAGTCTCATGGCAACTTGATATACCATGCTTTGCTGATACCCATGGGAGGCCTGTCCCTTTCTGAACAGGAACAGGGGAGGAGTGGATTGGGGGATGGTGTAGAGGAGGTGGGGAAAGAAAAGGGAGGACAAGAGGAAGGGGAAATAAAAAAATTTTATGTATTGGGCTGTAATAATATATTATTATTATTGTAACGGTTAGGATGTAAAATATATAATTAATAATAACAACAACAAAAGACTACTAAAAAAGACATTGTGTCTCCTGGAAATGACAGAAAAGCTTCACCCATGAAACCTCAATAATATTGCTGCCTAAACAAAACTGAAACAAGTAAACCATCAATAGTGATGCAAACATGTTAGGGGAAAATCTCATGGGTCCACACTCCTTGTGGTAGTTTGAATGTAACTGGTCCCTATAATCTCATAGAGAGTGGCACTATTAGGAGGTGTGGCTTTGTTTGAGTGGGTATGACCTTGTTAGAGGAAATATGTCATGGTGGGGATGGGCTGTGATGTTTCCTATGCCCAGGATACCACCCAGTGAGTCACTTGACTTCCTGCTGCCTGCAAGAGGTAGGACTCTCACCTCCAACACCCCATCTGCCTGCTCACTGCCATGCTCCCCAACATGGTGATAATGGAAAGAACCTCTGAAACTGTAAGGGAGCCACCCAAATTAAATGTCTTCTTTATAAGAGTTGCTGTGGTCATGGTGTCTCTTCACAGCAATGAAAACCCTAACTAATACACTACTAGACAAAGATCTACAGTTGACTAAGGGATGCTGAGAGGGGGAGAAGTATTCTCCTATCAGAGAGGGCCCTTAACTGGTTATCTAATATCAAGTGGTCAGTCCTGAAATCATGCACATGCAAGCAACACAGAATCATCTAAGCAGATGTTATTTACATATTATGTAAAAATAGGCAACACCACCAATTTAGGAAGAATAGGCTAGGAATTTGAGAGGAAACAATGGGAGGTGGGGAACACGGAGGAGGTTGGAGGAAGAAAGAAGAATGGGTGGAAAAGATGCAATTATATTTTCATAAAAATGAAGTAAGGTTTGCATGGAAAGTTTTCCTTATATAACTGGGGAGCATTAACAATAGTGTGCACTTTAAAATATTTTTTAAAACCTATCAACCACAGAAATTAGACTTTATTCCTAAACTTGATCCTGAAATAATGATATGTGTGTGGTATTTGAATTATAAGTGAGTTTCTGATTTCGACATTCTCTAAAAGTTTAGGAATGATTTAAGTGATTTTAAAGCTGTTTGCCTCTTATTGCTTAATTGGAACTATTATTGAACTGACCTGAATTTTTACCCTTGCCTGTATTTAAAGGTGTCACCAGCACGCCACTGCATTCTTTACTGACCATTCTCTATGTGAAACTTTCCCTTTTGGGGATCATTTTGCTCATCATGGGATTTGCTTTCATCCAGAAGAGAAATTCCTTCAGGTAGGAACAGAAAACTGAAATGTTAAGACTCATTAGAAAGAAAACATTGTCATGAGTTTGAGCTCACAGTGGACTGGGAAAGTATGTTATATGGACTCATCAAGGTTGTTTCCTCAGCCCTTTTTCAGCATCAGGATTTTTTAAACAATGGAGCCCACAGCTCTGACAAAAGGTCTGCCTTGCTGCAGATCTAACTGAGCAGGGAATTAGCTGGCTCTCTCTTTCAGGAATCAGTGGTAGAAATGAAGTTGCTGGAACTTTATGAGTTTATTTACAAGTTTCTTGACTTCTGTGGGTTTCTGTTCATTCCTGCTTAATCATATTTTTTGTTGTTTTTGTTTATTTCTAGAAAATGAAAATCCAGATTTCTGAAGCCTATTAGTCTGATGACACAATACAAGAAAACAGTCATTTGCAGTCACCTTTCTAGTTGACATCCAGCATACCTGTTCCTGATGTCTCCATGTTTGCCAGAAGTCCTGTGACAGCTGGCAGTCATGCAGTATGAATATACAGGCAAAAGCTTGGTGCTTACCATCTCATGTGCTATTAATGACCATATACTCTCTCCTGTCCCTGTTTCTCAGGCCAAAGAGGAAGTTGGCTTAGCAAAAGGTGAACAATTTTTCATTGTGATGGATGGATTTCTTCCACCCAAGTCCTCCAGGAATGGCTTCTATCAACTTCCTCTTCGTTGGTTCATTTTATGTGATCATATATGCTACACTGTCAGATGCCATGAGAAGCAACACCTTCAAATCAGCCACTAGCTGGCCTTCTTTCCTTGCTTGCTTTTGGACAGTTGTCTTTTGTATTAAAAATTGAATACATGAATAGAAACCATTTTTTTTTAGCAGTATCTCTGTGCTTTAGTAGAGGTTTATAGTTGAACCCAGAGAAGGCACTGCCAGTGTCATGGAGGTAACACTGAAAGACCCCTTACTGTTTAGAGCCCCAGTGTCTCAATTTTCTTTGCTGACTGTATGATGACTCACAGGGGTTGGGATGGATCAGGGAGGGTAAGGGTAAGACACTGGTGAACCCTACTAACTAGAAACCAAGACCTTGTCTTCACTTGATACAGACAGTAATCCTATAATAAAAATTTTATTTTTAATTAAAAGGATTATTTCTTGGGTAAAGTGACAAGTGACTTGGGCTATTATTTTTGTTTTTAGTAAAAGTTTAGGGAGACTATGAGTGCATGATACTAGAGGACACCTGGATGGTAGCCTCAAGTGGTTCTTTAAAAGTTTGAGTCTTTTCCATTTCACAGTCAAGCCAGTGCAGAGGATAAAGGGGGTATTTCTCTAAACCACTGTTTTATTCTACAACTCTGTTCTCTGAGTAGTTTCTATTCTAGGGAGAGGGGAAGATTGTATGGGGGATAATTTATGAGTCAGTCTTGGGGTAGTAAGCACACCTGCTCAGATTCCATGACTGGTACTCAGTCATATGACCACACTAACTTTTAGGTAGCCTACACACTGTAGGGTTGTTGACTTGATGAAAAAGTTTGATGGTTTGTGCACACTTACCAAATCTCTGCACACAATAAAAAGCAGGAACAGTGGTAATATCAACATTAATGTCTAGTTTAATAGTAGGTAATCACCATGCGTCAAGCAGTAAATCCACTCATAATTGTCACTCAAACACATCTAGGGTATGAGCTCTTTTTTTTAATCTCCTATTTCATTACAACATCTTCATTTTTAAGTTAGGACATTGAAGCACAAACCTAATTAGTCTTGACAGTAAAAACCCAGAGTCAGGCCGGGCGGTGGTGGCGCACGCCTTTAATCCCAGCACTCGGGAGGCAGAGCCAGGTGGATCTCTGTGAGTTCGAGGCCAGCCTGGTCTCCAAAGCGAGTAGCAGGAAAGGCGCAAAGCTACACAGAGAAACCCTGTCTCGAAAAACCAAAAAAAAAAAAAAAAACAAAAAAACCCAGAGTCAGATATTAGGGTGAAAGTTAAAAGATCAGAGAAGCAGAGCAGCAGCTACTTAGCGACTTCTTACCTCTATGAATCCTCAGACTGATTGGGGGGGGTGAGATCCTGTCTTCACCCACCTTATATTCCTGTATCCATCTCCCTAGTTCTGAGATTAAAGGTATGTACCACCACTGCCCAGCTCTGTTTCTTTTTTTGACTGGTTCAATCTTGTGTATCCCAGGGTGGCCTTGAACTCCTGATCTTCATGCTTCCTTCTTCTAAGTGTTGTGATTAAAGGTATGTGCCACCACTGCCTGACCTCTATCATACACTGGTGGCTAGCTCTGCCTTCAGGTCTCCAAGCAAGCTTTATTTATCAGAACACAAACAAAATATACAACAGTCCCCCTTTTTTTTATCTAAAATTAAAAGCAAAGGGGGAAAAAGTGAAGGTTTTTAACTAACATGAAAAACTATGTACAATAAGTACAATAACTATATACAAACATATACAGGCAATAATTGTGCTAACAATGTCTAGTCCATTAGTATTTGGCAAATTCAGAGAGAATACTCCATTACCTATCCTATCTTTGAGTCCAAATTGTTGTACCTAATTTACTTTCTATCTTAACTTGCATTACCAATGTAGAAGTATCTTTTTATGTCTCTCAACCTTATACACTTTACACCTCTTCTATGAGTGTCTTTTACCGATTTGTTAAAAGAAAAACTATAACCATAAAGTCTTCAAGTCCATCAGAGACCTGAGAAAGATACAACATTACTTGAGTAAACAGGAAGTGTAGAGCAAACAACTTCCAAAAAATGTGAAAAATGCTAGAAAGAGCTGACTGCTGAAACAGTCACCCAAGTTTCCTCTGCAATGTTGGGACATCCATCTTTGGCCTACAGGCCTAGCATGTTTGACAGACTTTTCTGTGAAGCAGGATTTTTGAAGGACTATCCCACCTTGTCTTGGCAAAGTTTGACAGTCACTTTCTTTTCTGTTGCTTGTCCAATTTGGACAGTGTACTGTCAGCAGTCAGGGCAAGGGCACTTTCTTGCCCAGTATCCTACTTTTGCTACAAAGTGAGCAAACTCCATATGGAGTTCCTTTGATGCCCTTTATTTTCTTTGAAGTAGATTGGTGCTTTCAAGAGCAGACATGTCTCATTGTCATAAAAAAACAAACCTATGTTATTAAAACATTTTTTTTTTTTGGTTTTTCGAGACAGGGTTTCTCTGTGTAGCTTTGCGCCTTTCCTGGAACTCACTTGGTAGCCCAGGCTGGCCTCGAACTCACAGAGATCTGCCTGGCTCTGCCTCCCGAGTGCTGGGATTAAAGGCGTGCGCCACCACCGCCCGGCTTATTAAAACATCTTAAATGTCATATTCTATAGATCTCTGAAGTATTTGTAGCCCACTTGCCTATCTAAAAAATATCTGTTTGACCTTGAAAACATACCTAACATGACTGCAAGTTTGATTGTAATAGGTGACTAACTACTAACCTGCATTTCTTTATTATCCTAAATAGTTTGCAATAATAACTTTCAAGGACTAGAAATTTACATTACATTGTTAGATGAGCTGTAAATACAATACCTTGAATAAGAGTAGAAACATATGTACAGTATGTTCCAAACAAAAATAACCTTGAATTTGTGTACAATATACAAAAAATTCATGTCAATGCAAAATATTTAAAACTAGTAGTTGCTTTTTTGGTTTAAAAGTAGATTCAACAATCTAGCTTTTATCCTATCATTTTTATACCATATATACAGTATAGAAAAACCAACTCCTAATTTGTATAAATATACAAAAATCCAAGCCAATGTAAAATATTTAAAACTAATAGTTACTTTTTTTAAAAATAGATTCAATAATTTACCTTTTAATCCTATTTATATATCCTCCCTTTTTCTTTTTAGAAGGAGATCCCTGAATCTAATTTTCTTTGTTCATTTCCTGACTATTACCAGTAACAACTTGTAACCAACCCCCCTGAATGACGACAAATATCCATAACTCACTAAACAATCAAAACCTGCCCACCCCATGTCTTGGGAATATGGGCATCATGGTCTTAAAATTACTTCCTGCTGTCTGGGGACAATGATATCTTCAGGGGACCCTGAAAAAATTTTGGTTTAATTGTCAAGTTCTGGGAGAGGTAGTTGTATCATTTGTTGTCCAGTATAATGGTAAAGTTCAGGACTTGTCTCAAGTCCTGACTAGAGTAGTCTGTGAGGCTGGATCATCTCAGACAACCACCTTGAAATTGTCCTGAGCAGTTTGTAGTCCAAAGCCAATCCTTAGGTGGTGTTTGTCAGCTTAATGGCATTACCACAGTCCAGGTGGAATCATCATTATGGGATCCCATCATCTTTTTGGAGACTTTAGAGATTGTGTTAGGTCAGATTATTCATTTTCTTGGTAATTTTTTCTAGGTAGATCTCCCTTCTTCTTTGGATGTTTATTTATCCAAAGGTCTTTAAATTCCTCAAGACAGTTGTTTTTATTTTCCTGGAAAGACAAAAACAAAACCCTGCCCCAACCCTAACTTTGAGGAGTTTCCCCTTTGGCAATTTGTATCTGATCAAATGAAAACTATTTGTTAGTCTTTTAAGCTAGTTTAGATTGAATCTAATCAAGAGGTCTCTCTTGTTCAAATCTAATCTCTATCGATTTTGATGGTATCCACAGCTTTTCTTCTCCTGTGGAAACAAAAGCAAAACCTCTTCCCCAGTGTAACACATATCCTGGTTTCCATTCTGAGGTCAACACATCTTTAAAGTATACAGGCTGATTTAATTCAGTAGTTTTTTTCTATCATCCAATGTCTATCTGTGGCTGTCATTGCTTTCTCATTAGCATTTAGAACATTTAAAGTTAATAAAGCATTATGCAATCTACTTCTTGGGGTCTTTATTGCCACTTTGTTTTTATTAAGCATACCTTCTAGAGTTTGATTAAATCTTTCTATAACTGCTTGCCCCATAGGATTGTGTGGTATAACTGTAGTATGCTTTATGTTGTAATATGCAAAAAATCTTTCATTTTACTAGAGACACATGCTTGTAAATTGTCAGTCTTTATTTGTACAGATGTTCCCATAATGGCCATTGAAAGACCCTAACCCTTCAGGCTTACACCCCCAAGCCCCAGGAAATAAGGAACTAAAAAGAAAACGAGTTCCAAGGGCCACCTGACTCAGCCACTACTCAATCACCCCTGTAACATATAACAATGTAAAAAGATTTCTGTTAAGAGATGTGCTCAACTATGACTCGGATAGTTGCAAGTGTTCCAGGAAGAACCATTGTGACCTGTGTGTAAACTCCACTCCTGCCCTGATACCCCCCCTTGAGGTTTCAGGAAAAATGTGCATGCGGACGTGACTGTACCCACTCTGTGATCACCCTGTGATCAGGCTATGAATTGTATGGGAATTGTAATCTTGTGGGTTTTGTGGGTTTTTCCTTTAAAAGCCCTTATGGGGCTGCAGCAAGATGTGACTCTTGCTCTTGGGAGCAGAGGAGCCTTTCTGTACAGAAGCCAATAAATTCCTCGTGGTGTTGCATCAACTGGACTGGAGTCTGGTTCTTGGGGCGCCCACTTGAGACCCTAAACTTTGGGATCCAACAGCCATGACTTCTAATAGATGT